CTCATGTTCCTTGATTTGTGTTTGGATGCTGCATTTGGTGGTCCCTTGTAGACTTGTCTGCATCTGCATAGTATGCAGTAAACTCCTGCAGCTGTGAGAGGGTCTCTCCTGTCCTTCGCTGAGCACAGCATTTGTTGGACTTTCTTGGTTGGTTTGTAAACCATTTGGAAGTTGTGTTTCCTCACCACTTTCCCTATTCTGTCTGTGACTCCTTTGATGTATGGTAAAAATACCTTTCCTTTGGGTGGTTGCTTGTCTTCACTCCTCTGGATTTTTCTGGGTCTGGCAGCCCTTCTGATATCTGAGCTGGAGTAACCATTCATCTGTAGATCCCAGTCTAGGTGCTTCAATTTCTCTTCCAAGAAGTGGGGTTCACAGATGCGTTTTGCCCAATCTACCAATGTTTTTATTATGCTTCTTTTTTGTCCTGGCTGATGGTTGGAGTTCTTGTGCAGGTATCTGTCTATATGTGTAGGTTTTCTGTATACTGTGTGACCCAGACATTGGTTTGCTTTGCAGATGACTAGGACATTCAGGAATGGCAGTGTTCCTTCCTTTTCTTTTTCCATAGTGAATTGGATGTTAGGATGGATGTTGTTCAGGTGGTTCAGGAACACAGCCAGATCTTCTTCTCTATGGCTCCAAATGGTGAAAGTGTCATCCATGTATTGAAACCAAGTTGTTGGCTTTTTCAGTGCTGTTTCCATGGCTTGCTTTTCAAAGTGTTCCATGTAAAAGTTTGCTATCACAGGGGTTAGAAGGCTTCCCATTGTACCCCATCTGTCTGCTCTAGAATCCTTTGTCCCACTGGAAATAGCTTGTGGTGAGGCAACGTTCAAACAGGGCTGTGATGTCCTCAGAAAAAATTGGATGAGTGTCATGGTGTCCCTTTATGGGGACTTTGGTGAACAGGGAGACCACATCAAAGCTGATTAGTATGTCTCTGGGTTTAAGTTCAAGGTTATTGATTTTTCCTATAAAGTGAGCTGAGTCCCTGATGTAGTGGAGGGTTTGCCCTATATGGGTTTGTAATTGTGTGGCCAGAAACTTGGCCAGATCATATATGTACTGGGAAAATATTTTTTAAAAGATTGGAAGCATTTTTTTCTAAGAAATAAAACAGAAGATGGATAGAGAAGATATATAGATGATAGATAAAGAAAGAAACTTAAATTTTCACTGTTCACTACTGAGCCATGAATGTAAATGGCTCTGCAGTGCCTGCTGATCCCATGGAACAAACAGAAATAGGGACAAGAAATGCATTGGTGTTGGAGGAATGTCAATGAAATAGTGCTGACAAGAACAAGAATGTTGACAAGCTGGAGAATGTCCAGAAGAGGGAAAATAAAATGGTGGAAACCATGCCTTTAGAGGAGAGACTCGAGGAGCTGGCTATGTTTAGCCTGGAAAAGAAAAGGTTAAGAGGTGATACAATAGCCCTGTTTAAATATTTGAAAGCATGCCATGTTGAGATGGAGCAAGCTTGTTTTCTGCTGCTCCATAAACTAGGACACAAAGCAATGGATGCAAGCTACAGGAAAAGAGATTCTACCTCATAATTAGGAGGAATCACCCTGACAGTAAGATCTGTTTGACAGTGGAACACACTGTCTTTGAGAGTGGTGGAGTCTCCTTCCTTGGAGGTCTTTAAAGAGAGGCTGGATGGCCATCTGCTTGTTCAGAGTGCTTTGATTGTGTGTTCCTACATGGCAGAATGAGGTTAGACTGGATGGCCCTTGAGGTCTCTTCCAACTCTATGATTCTATGATTCTATGAAAATACCACCATCACACTACCACAAACACCCCAGAACCTTGTGTTGCTGTTGTTGTTGAGTGTCTTGAAATCATTTCTGATTTATGGCACCCTTATGGTGAACCTATCACAAGGTTTTCTTGGCAGGATTTATTCAGAAGGGGTTGCTTTTGCTTTCCTTTGAAGCTGAGAGAATTTTACTTTCCCAAGGTTACTCATTTTCATGACATTCGGTATTAGTTTCCATGGCTGAGCTCAGATTTGAATCCAGCTGAGTTAGGACATGCAGTTTTTCCAGGAACTGATTGGCCAGTTTGAATTTCCAGACCCTACTTAGTCGTTGCCCATCCCCATAGAAATGTCTTTGTTCCTAAAATCTTTAATCTTTGAGTAACTGTGAATAGTCAAGATTGGACAATACTATGGTACAAATTCTCAGGTTCCTGCTCTATGCACTTCTCTGGTGACTTTTCTGTAAGATTTAAATTTCGTTTGTTAACAACATTCTTGATTTCATTTCATTTTGAAAGAACAAAGCATGGCTGACCACCTGTTTGGTTCTTGAAATTGGATTTCATTTAGTTTATCCTTAAGCATATGTCATACATCTAGATTTCCATCTGATGAATTTGAGGCTTATTAATCACTTGATCATTAATCAGCCATACACTTAAATAGACTACAGTGGATGTTTGCAACCTCATCAGGTTAGAGGCACAGATCCCCATTTTCATGCCATTTAATATTAGTTTTCAGGGTGGTTTGCAACACACACCCATTCAATAACATTATAAAAACTTGGCTGCACACTAACAACATTTTAAAAAAATACACCCATGTACCCAGTCTGTACAAGGCAAAAATAATGCAAAATAGGTATAATGTTCTTTATTAATTCCATTATGTATAATGTTGTTGTTTTTTTGTTTGTTTTTAATCCCAGTGCTACATTCATGGTATTTTTAGGATGGCATTCAACATTTTAAAACCACAATGCCGTTAAATATTATACAAAAGCTGTAAAGCAGGGGTAGGCAACCTTTCCCCTTTAAGGGCCGAGGGACTTCAGCTCCCAGAATCCTAGGAGCTATTGGCCAACATGGGACTATTGGCCAACATGGCTAAGGCTTCTGGGAGCTGAAGTCCCTGGCCCTTAAAGGGGAAAGGTTGCCTACCCCTGCTGTAAAGCCAGTTACTGCAAATATAAAACAGCAGATATGTAGCAGACAAAAGTGTGATGGACCAGAGAAAAACAGCCAAGTATGGGGGCATCTGCATGTTACAAAGAAAGATATTTCACAAAATTGGTGCAGGCACTGAAAAGGCTCTTTTCTCTTGTTACAGTGTGCCCTTGTTATCCACTGGGGTTTGGTTCCAGGATCCACTCAGCCCCAGTCCCTGTGGATACCAAAATCCATGGACACTTAAGTCCCAGACTCCCTCAGCCAGTATGGCAACTGGTCATGTTGACTCTATATCTATCCTAGATGAAACACAGATAATAGACTTTCCTTGTGATCTTAGGGTTATGATGATACAGTTAAAAATTCTTAACATGTGATACTTTACATTGCTATGGGATACTTTCAAGTGTCAGATTTAACAAGAATAAGCATTTAAAAAATTAAGGGGTAGCTATATTTATGGTTAGTCTGGTTACTCTATGTTGGCCATTATTCATAGAGGCTGGTGCTGTACAGATTAATCTAAAGAATACAGCAAAATGTCCATTTATAAATGGACCCTTTCATTTTTTGCCTGGAGGAGGGAAGAGGATGGTGGCTGGAAGATAGGGGAGAGAAGATCTCTGCAGGATGGTTAGACAGTGGTACACAAACAGATGGATTCTCAGTGTGTGGGGAAACTGAAATACATTTGCCAACATAATAAAAACTGGCTCAAATGGCATTTTTAGACTTGCAAAAGATGTTGCCTGTAGGCTGCAGATGTTCTTATTTTTGCACAAAGCCTGGTGTTGCACGTTAATAGGGAAACATTGCTCTTTTGCCTTGCTTGGCATGTGGTGGTCATAGATATGATGGGATTATTGCGAAAATGGCTCCATGTGTCACTGTCCATGACAACAATCCCCTGAAATTTTTAAAATTCTTTCTTGCTTTAGGAACTGCAAACAGACCTTGAAATCTAGACTGCTGATGGCTGTTAAGTGGCTCAAAGCTTGATAATGTTGCATAACCCCAATAAGCAAAACACCCTTGTCAATGAATCCAAAAGCAATTTAAAGAAAATATGTAAACTAGGTCATCTGTATGAGATGTTTATGAGACTAGGAAAGGAAAGATGTATAACCAGCTTGTTGTCTGTGTTTATGAGAGAACGAATGAGAAAATGAAAAAGAGAGAGAGAGAGAGACAGTCAAAATTCTCACAAAATATCAGTCTACAGCAGCAACCCAAAGCTGACTGCAAAATAGCAAAATAGATTGGATGGCATTGGCAATTCAAAATGACTTTAATAGTTGAGAAAGCTGGGCCAAAATAAACAAAATGAATTTCAGCAGGGAGAAATGTAAGGTACTACACTGGAGGCAGAAGAGTGATGGAAAGCAGCACCAAGCTCTTTTCTTGTAGTCCAGCTCTGATCTTGTCACAGACACTCCTGCTCCCCTGCTTCCACTGGTGAGTGTTGGTAGGGGACCAGAGTTTGGAAGGGTGAAGAAAGACAAGTACCTTCATCCCACTTGACAGAGATTTACAGTGCCTTGTTCTGCTCCAAGGTATGTTAAGGATTAAAGTTACAGGAGCACTGTCCTGCATCCAATTTGACAATCCTATGTTATGACTTCTAAGTTGCTCCTTCTAGTCCAGTTCATTGCAAAGGCATGCATGGAAAGAAGAACAAGTTTGTCCCTTTCAATCCCCACTAAGTGTTCAGCCAATGCCCCAAAGATGTGTGTGTGTGTGTGTGTGTGTGTGTGTGTGTGTGTGTGTGTGTGTGTAAGAGTGTGTACACAGTAGGAATCTTGATTTCCATGGGTTGCTAATTGTATTGAGAGCCTATGCACAGGGACATGCCTGCATATAGATTCATTTACACCTTACAAATGGATACAGGAAGTCAGAAGAAGGGACAATCGGCTTGGTCTTTCCTTACTTCTAGCCCACCCCATGTGTTTACCAAACATGTGAAAAAAGCTTCTCTAAGCTTTGTATACTAAATTGTTTCTTTCCACAAACCTTACCCAGGGCCCTTTGACACTACATAATTAGAGCACTATGAGAGCTTGTGTGGTGTAGTGGTTTGATGTTGGATTATGACACTGAAGAAAAGAGTTCAATTCCCTGCTCAGCCACAAAACCCACTGGGTGACCTTGGGCAAGTCATATGCTCTCAGCCTCAGGGGAAGCAGTGGCAAACCTCCTGTGAACAAATTTTGCCAAGAAACCTCTTCGATATGTTCACCTTAAAGGTGCCATAAGTCAGAAATGACTTAAAGACACACAACAGCAACTACAAAAATGCCACTTTAACTGACATGGCTGAATTCTATGGAATCCTGAGAACTGCAGTGTAAGGAGGAGCATTTAGAATTATCAGCCAAACACCTCACCAAACCACAAACCCTAGATTTCCATAGTATCTTTTCATGGCAGTCAAAGGGGAATCATAGTGCTAGGGGGCCCTGGTGGTGCAGTGGTTAAATGCCAGTACTGCAGCCACTGACTCATAGCCACAAGGTTATGAGTTCAATTCCCTGCCAGGGACTCCAGGGTCAGCTCAGCCTGGCATTCTTCCAAGGTCACTAAAATGAGTGCCTAGCAATAGAGAAATGTAGCTGTGATTGCTATTGCTATAACTGTATAGTGTGAAATGGTCCCATGTTACATAGGGAGGCAAGATAACTGATTTGCTGAAGATCTTGAGATGATACAGCAAGACGTGATACTTTCATGAATGTTGATCAAATCTGTCAGCCAGTTCTGACAGAGAGATTACTAGTCAATGGCTCAGTGACCATGGAAAGGTCTCTTAATAGGAGCCAGTGTGCAGCAAATAGATGGAACTTCTTTGATTAACAACAAAAGAAGCATTTTTTTTAATTAACAACAAAAGAAGCACACAGATACAGAGATAGAGGAGAATATTGAGCTTTGGAGGACACCTTTCAGAGTGTCTCAGTTTCCCATCTGAATATATAGTTGTCCCTCCTAGTTTGCAGACTTCCCATTTGCAGCCTTGAATTTCCATGGACGGTAAGCCAGGAGGGACAAAATGGGGTGCACACACATGGTGCACGTGCGGGGCCATGTGTCCATTATATCCAATAGGGCTTGGATATTTGTGTTTTTTCCAATTTGTGGGGTGGATGGGTCTGGAATGGATCCCCCACAAATCAAGAGAGACAACTGTATGATGTGTGCAACAGCAAATTTGTTGCTAGAAGATATATTAATTTTAGCACCTCGATCTTCACTCTACTGGCATGCTAAGTAAACTGAAATATTACAGGTGTTCCTTAAGTCATCCTTCATTCCAAAGGGAATCAAAATCAAGGAAAATCTGTACCTGGAGCTTCTGGCTGATTGAGAAAACAGGATGTGTGTAACAATAAACTGTTTTCTGATCTTCACTTTCCCATGTAACAGGATGTTCTGCTGAAGCACATTATAGACAATTTCATTATAGTTGACTTCGAGCCTTTACACACTGCCAGAAATAGTGCAGCTTGAGGCCATTTTAACTGTCCTGGCTCAGTGTTACGGAATCATGGGAACTGTATTTTTTTCTGGGACATTGAGCCTTCTCTTTCAGAGATCTCTGGTGTCACAATAAATTAAAGTTCCCATGATTCCTTAGCACTGAGCCAGGACAGTTAAAGTGGCCTCAAGCTGCACTATTTCTGGCAGCCTGTAAAGGCCCTTCCTTCCTTGTCAATTGTTGTCAACATACATGTTGAGCAGCTGAAAAGCATACAGGCAGTACCTATTACAAAATAAAATTATTTTCCTTCTACCCTTCTCCTTCCAAACTAAACAAAAACAAACAACAAGGATTCCTGACATTTCGTAGCAGCCAACTGAATAATGCCAATTCCTTTCCTCTTCTCTGGTCAAATGCAAAATGTTTCTTCCCTTTCTTCCTCCTTAACATATTCTGTCCCCAGAGAGAATACAGGTGTCAATGATCATCCTTATAGGTAAGTGTTTACTGTATTGCTAGCTTGCCATGACTGTCTTATTGATTGGTGTACATTGTTAATGCAAAGCAAAAAACAAGAGTTGAATGAAACAGCTTTGCTCTGAACAATATCAAGTTTTTGACACAGAACCATGTTAGAAACACAAGACCCACAGGAGAGTGAATCTGGGTAAGTTATCCTTTGGACTACAACACCTAAAATCGCCCAGTTAGCATGACAATGATGGCTAGGGGATCATGAAAATTGCAGTCCAAACAGTTAACATTCCCAGGTTCTACAAAAGCATGGTGTAGTAGGAAATATCCCACCCTACCAAAAGTCCCCTTACACACCCATCCCATGAAAAAACAATAGGAAGCAATTCTTCATACAGCACGTATGTAATTTATGGAATTTTCAGGTAGAGTTGACAGTCCCTGATTTAGATAACTTAAGAGAGCAATTGGATAAATCCATGCAGGACAGATATTTCAATGGTATTGGTCATGCTGACAGAACATCCATATACAAAGGCAGTCCCAGTTGCCAAGTAACAGCAATGAAAGGTAGAAATTTCCATTATGTGCTATGGCTTTCTTGAAGGCATCCAGTCAGTCACTGTGTTGATAAAATGGTCTGGTCCAATAAAGTTGATCCAATTAGATATTTGATCTCATCCAATAATGGTTTCTCCCATCTGCTACAGACAACAGGATTCTCAATCTGCTCCACATCTGACAGCAAGGAAAGATGGACAACAGGTAGGCTGCCAACTTGTAATTTCTAAAAATACATAGCCTGTACATGGAACCAATTGATAGATCAGGAAGCAGATCCAGGAATGGGGTTTGGAAGTGATTGGTGAGCAAGGAGCCTAACTGTTCAGCAAAACTTATAGGGCTAGAGTATTGGATAATTAAAGAAATTAAACAGCTCTCACAGAAAAATGCCTAATTCATTCAACAGCACAAAAATACTCAGTACCTCAGTGGAGGCCAACATATAGAATGGGCATGCATAGTTGGGAAAACTACCAAAGATGCTGTCAGTATCATGGTTCAGACATGTTTCTGCCATGCTTAATTACTGCCATAGTTAATTGCTGTGTTTGGGTGCTAATATGGGAGGATGGGTTGTGCTATCCTATTGGTGTTGCTGGGAAAATAAAAGAATGTGTATCATTTGTGGCCTGGAATAATGAGCAAATATGTGGAGCAGAAATATGAGCTGTAAAGTCCTTGTTGTGGGAGAGCTGGAGCTCAATAAGAGGGAAAAGGAAGATGGGGTGAAACCTTGGAAGCCAGTGTGTTTTAATTTGCTGACAAGTGGGATGAATGCTTTTGTTAATGGGTGATTTGTTTGCACTTTAAGTATACTGTGTAACTGAAAAAAATCTTCAGTCCTGACAACTATGAACTGTGATCTACTCTGTTTACTGAATAAAGCTTTTCTGAATCTACGGATAGCTTGTGTTCCTGCAGTGGGGTTAGCCTGTACATTACTGAAACTAATGGTGCAGTCAAAAGGCAGGATCCATCTCCTGACAGGCATGTGTAAAGGGGGGTGGGGGAGGGTCTTAGTCAGGTTTGTATTTAAAAAAAAAAGCTCCCAGAATACCTCAGCCAGCCCTGCCTGTTGCAGCTCTCAAAAGTAAGCTATCAAGTCTTTGCTATAAGAACACCTTCCTAGTTATGGCTGGGTGCTATCATCCAAAAAGTAAAGTTTCCACATTCTGGGTCTTAGTCTGTAGAATCATATTCTGAAAATATGATTTAAATATGATTTACAAAATAATACATGCAATGAGGTAACATATTTATTTAACCACAGAGAAAATGGTGCATTTTCCACTGTAAGCACTAAATGGTGCTAAAAATAACTATGATACAACAACCCAAAACCACATCAACAGACAATTATTCTCAACCATGGAAGTTATGCAATGAAATTTATTTTGGGTTTTATGATAAAATTTCCTCTGTTCACTGGTGGTTATGATGAAAAAAAATGTTATTGTGAAGCTATAGCGGCACATTAGAAACTAATATGGTGTTTAATCAACTGCAGTATAAACCTATTATTTCAACCCTGGCAAGCTTATGAAAGAAAATCATTCCCATCAAAGCTCTCTTAAGCTTCCCTTGATTTATAAGTCATTGTGAATGGGGAAGAAATTAAGACACACTTTTGATCACTGTTTATGCAAAAAAAGTGTAATTAAGGCTGCAATCCTATATGGACATATAAGAAATAGTTCTGCTGCACTTCAGAAGACTCACTTCTGAGTAAAGCTGTAGACATATTTGTGATTGTGCTATGGCATAACTTGGACACATTTACTTGAGAGAAAGCCCCACAGGGTTCCACTTGAAGTTCAGCTCTTGGACTTCCACTGACATGATGCATTGTGGGAACCTCCAGAACAGACTTTGGGGATGCAACACAAACAGAGAATCTGTTTCACAAGTGACACTGGCATATGAACACTATAGGTTTTACCCCTTGAACTTAGTGGAATTTACTGCTGAGTAGAAAAATATTGGATTGTGCTGCTTGGGTGTACACTTTACTGAGAAGAATGTCCCACTGGATTTGATGCACAGTTGGAGGGACATACCTCTAATCATGAAACAGGGTGAGAGCCTCTAGAACTGATTTATATCGTACAAGAGAAGAGAGAATGCATTTTACTAGCACTTATCTATTGCATTGATGAATGAAATCTGTTTAATTCAATGGTAATTGGTTCTGTTCCAAATAGATATGCATAAGATTGTGCTTCAAGGAAGTTAAAGGGTAACTATAACTGGTACACTATTCAATTGTGAGTATGATGAACTTTTCTTGAAATCTTGATCTAACTTTTTAAAGGATGAGTCACTACATTGTGAGATTACAGTTATTGATTATTATTTTTGCAGTGGTGTAGGAAATTCTATCACCTCATCCACAAACATATATCAGTGGCACAGATCTGAAATGGAAGCATTATAGATGTAATGTACAACACAGATTGGCCATTTCTCTCATTTCATTAACATGTTTGCAAAGAATAATCCACATTTTAAGACCAAAAGCAGTCATTAGAAAGCAGAGGTATGGAAGCCTTCTTTTCTATTCTGTTATGTTCTTTAATGAAAAGCAGTAGTGAGAGCACCTGTACTAGGAGGTAA